GTGCGTCTCTCCTCCCACCGGCCTCCCTCATCGCAGAACTGGCAGATCTGGTTGGGGCGCTTGTGTCCTTGCAGGTGAGCTCCTCCCCCTACGGCACCGAGCTCCCTCCACCAAAGCTGCGGCCCTGACGATCAACAGCGGCGTAGATCTGGATGCAGCGGCGGGCAGCCTGACGATGCTGCAGGCAGTTGGATTCGGGATCTTGAAGCAAGCGGGCCGACGATGGTGGCGCAAATCTGGCGGTGGCCCCGACATGCTCGCGGTGGCAAGGGCTCGTGGCCGCCCGTGCTCGCGGCGACGCGACAACAGGTGCTTGAGCTATCCAGATCCGACGAGCGGCGGTGGTGGTGGCGCTCAGATGGGCTTGGCGGGCTTCGTCGATGGGCTCAGCGGGCCTATCGATGGGCTCGCTGTTTTTTTAATGTTTTTATTGATTAACCGAGGCAGGCATATCAACCGCCATGCGCCATGGTAGTTCCTTGATTTACGTGACCTATGGTTGGAGGCGGTTGGATTGCCCGCCTCCAAAAATCTATTTTGCCCGTCACGCAAAAGATTTCTGTACTAGTGCATCTCAACTGCTCCTCTAGAGGAGCCGAAGCTCTCAAAGAGGATCCTGGTTTTAAACAGCTCTGGCTCCTCTACCATTAAACCAGAAAATGCCCCCCTTTTCCTAAAGTATTTGGTAGGTGTCCTCCGGCTCCTCCATAGATGGTGTTGTTGCAGCCGAAACTAGAGCCGTGTGAAACAAGCTTGAATAAAATCGATAGATGGTGATCCTTACTAAATTACCAAACAAAGCTTAAACAACTAATACTACCTGGCAACAACAAATGCTAATGAATTGAAGCCATTGATTTTATAGCAGGACATAGTAAAATCGGATAGAGAATGTTGAATAATTAGGAAATTTTTGATTAATTTCCAGACTAATAGCAGAATACAAATCATGACAATCTCATAAACTAGCATGCTGATCTCTAACATACTAGTTAAATTAGGCAACATTAATAGCAATATAGCTAAGATCATCATGATCAACATAGTAGACGAACGACAATAATAGATTGGTTATGTGGTATGTACCTACCTTTTGTTTGTAGAAGAAAATGGTGTCGTTGGTGAAGATGATGTAGAGTGAGACGCTGGTGGTGGTGGTACTAAGTCGTCGATGAGTGGTGAAGGAAGAGCTTGGAGCAGCTGACGACGAATACGTCGGGACGTAGTGCTGCCTAACTTGGATGGAAGATCACCCGTCGTAAAAGTCAGGAGTAGTCACGCGACGAGCGCTTCCCAAAAACCTTATTCGTCCTCTCCCGGTGCAGGATCACAAGGACAAGGGTTCCAAGACTTGCTCTCCTAAACGTCGGTGCATGCAGACGCCGGGATGGAGAGACTATGGCGGCGGCGCAACAACGAGAAAAGGAAAATACTAATTTACTACCTTTGGATTTTCTAAACTAGAACTCTCAATAGTAGTTTTTGGTGTGTCTTTTCTTAGGAGGATTGATACATATATATAGGATGAGAACCCTCTACCTCCACATCAACTAAAAATATGATACTAATTGATGTTGTAACTCCCACCTCTACTTATGGGCTCAAACATTAAAGCCCATTAGGGAACACAAGTATTGGACCTTTAAGATTTATTAGAATATTTTCATATGAATTTAGGGGAACTATCCATATAAATTCTAACAATCCCTCACCAGATCTCAACTGCCCAGTATAGATATTTTCGTTCTCCCACTATTGTTTATATACTAGTGTTTCAGCAGAGACTGTTAAGTTGAACATCCGCCTAGAGCTTTAAGTTACACCCATCCACAACTTGAATAATGGACTATGCCTTGAATTGCAAGTTTTGTGCGAACGAGTTTTACTCAAAGTCAAACTAGTACCTGGCTGCCAGTAGCCTTCCTCGTGGGTGGAGCATATACGTCGTACTACCCTGGTCTCTTCATGAGCTTACTAGAGATCACCCAAGTCTCATAGACTAAGACGTTATACAGTCGGGCTCATATAGGTATGTTCTTTCAAGAATGCTCTGCAGGACAACATCTTCGCTTGTTAAAGCCAATAGAACACATTAAGACATTCGCCAACCTACCATACAGTGCCTCATTGCTTTGAGAGTATTGCATCTTCACATAGAGAGGGTTATAGTTTACTCTCCTCAGTTTACCAATAGCTTGTTCTTCCCAGATCCATAGTCACGGGATCTCTGATAAAAAAGGTTGGATTACTACTACTGTAAACTCACATGGGTCTCATACCCATCTCCCTTGATGCAATTTCTATCACATTCCATGATAGCCCTTTTGTAAAGGGATCTGCCAGGTTTTTGTCTGTTTGCACATAAGTCACAACTATTACTCCGGAGTTTCTCAGCTTCCTAACAGTCTTCAAACGCCTTTTAACGTGTCTTGTTGACTTCGCATTATCCTTAGCACTGTTCACAGGATAGCCGGTATTGGTTTTTCAACCACCGACAAGTCCAATAAGAGCTCACGCATCCATTCTGCCTCTGCAGAAGCTATATCTAAAGTGTAAGTTTTGCTTCCATAGTTGATTTTGTCAAAATAGTATGTTTGCAAGACTTCCATGACACTGCGCCACCTCCAAGAGTAAACACATACCCACTAGTGGTGTAGATTTGGTCAATATCGGATATCAGTTCAAATCACTATATCCCTCAAGCACAGCTGGGTGCCCAGAATAGTGAATCCCAAAACTCATTGTACCTTTAAGATAACGCAAGACCCTTTAAAGTACACGCTAATGATCATCACCCGAGTTGGACATGTACCTACTCAACTTGCTCACGACAAAAGAGATATTTGGTCTTGTTGTGTTTGCTAAATACTATGAGTAAACCAATGAACAAAGAGAGTATCTCAAATGGTCTCTGGCTATCTTTTGTCCTTTGGGTCAAACTTGCTTAGGATCTTCAACTGAATTGAAGAAGGCTATCGGCTATCCATAAAGCCAAACTGGCTCAAGACCTCAACATAGTGAGATTGCAACAAAGTAAGCCACTCTCATTCTAATCGACTTAATGTTTAGATAGACATTAACCATCTCCTAGATCTTTCATGTCAAAGCTCTTGAGACATGAGAAAAACTTGACCTCATTAATTGCAGCATCAATGTTCATGCCAAAGATTAGAATCTTGCCAGGCCATATAAGCATAGGATATAATGATAATACACCCCAACCATGTCGGAGATGACAAAGATCTATTAGCCTCGCGGACAAAGCCCGCACTCGTTAAAGTTGTGTCAAACCGCCTCATGTCATTGTGGAGACGAAGGTGCGCTTGTTTCGAGGGTGCCATGACGAGATTGGATGCCAACACTTGCTTAATAGCCCTTGCCGGAGCCCTCACCTTTTTTACTACAAACGGGTGGCAGCTGGTGATCCATATAGATTTCCTCATCCAACTCTCCATTAAGGAAAGCTATCTTCACATCCATTTGATGTACGAAGACCATCGCAACCGGAGAAAGTAGCGCCGAATAGTGGTCTTCTAGCAACATGTGAATAAGTATCAAAGAAATCTTGCCTTCCCTTCTGAGGATATAACCCTTAGCCACGGCCGAAGCCTTATACTTGGCCTGTATTTTTGAAACAATTTCTTCTTGAACACCCATTTATAGCCCACAGGTTTAATCTGCCATCTCTTAAAGTGCGGTGCAAAAACTTTGGTGGCCTCGAGCTTACTGCATCGGCAACTGCCATAATATTTTGGTGACCTACAATAAGGTTTTTGGATTGTTGAATAATTAGGTGGCGGTGATTAGCGAGCAAACTAATAGCATAATACAAATCATGACAATCTCATAAACTTACGCATAGATCTTCTAACATACTAGTTAATTGGCCCAATACGCCGTGGTTAATATAGTTAGCAATATAGGTAAGATCATCATGATGCAGTTAACAGGTAGTGTTTTAACGACAATACTAGATTGGTCACGTGGTGAGCCTTCTTCCTTTTCTTTGAGAGAAGAAAATGGTTTTTCTGGTGAAGAAGATGCCCTACCTCATTTGGTGGTGGTGGTACTAAGTCTTTGATTTGGTGAAGGAAGATCTCGAGACCAAGGTATCATGACGCCCTCCTCTAGCCGGGATGTAGCAAATCTAACTTGGATATAATAGTCGGATTTTTCAAAAACCTAAGATTCTTCCTCTAATGTAGGATCACAAGGACGAGGATTCCAAGACGAGAGAAGCTACCAAACAAAGGTAACCTCTGCATGACGTTGGGATGGATATGGATTCATTGTTGTGGATCGGATAGAAGAAAAATAGGTGTAATTTACTATCTTTAGATTTTCTAAACTAGAACAAAAATAGTAGTTTATGGTGTGTCTTTTTGGAGGATTGGTATATATATAGGGATGATTGTCCCTACCCCACATGTTCTAGTAACAATATGGTTTTGTAGCGACTTAAACATTAAAGCCCATTCGATGAATACAAGTATTGGGGTATTGAGATTTAGTAGAATTTTTTCATATGGATTTAGGGGAACTATCCATATAAATTCTAACAAGATGGTGAGGATCTGATGTTTGTGATCATATTTTCGTTCTCCCATAGTTTTTTTTATTTTAGTGTTTCAGCAGCAGATAAGTTGAACGCTCTAGATTTTAAGTTACATCCATCCACGACGAGATCAAACAATGGAGACAATGAATTAAACTGAAAGTTTTGTGGGAGGCAGAGGACAAGGAGATTTTGGAGAAAGTCAAACTAGTACCAGTACCTGGCTACCAATTGCGCGGGTCAAACTTGCTAGTTATACTTCAACTGAATAGAATAATTGCCTGCCGGCTACCAGGAAGACGAAGACTGGAGTGGCGGCACCTATGGCTATGACAAAGTAGGCGAGCCACGTTACTACGGACGCTACAGTGACGTAGACGGCGGCCATCAGTGAGATGAGCATGGCGAGGCATGAGACGATGTTGAGCCTGTGGTTGGAACAGGCTCATTGAACCTGGAGGGGTAATGCAGGCCCAAAGAAAGGGCATAGCACAACGATGGAGCTGCGTTATAGCAACCGTGTCGGAGATGACGAAGACTAGTATTAGGTGTTGTTTAATGTGGCATAGTATTAGACTTTTCGTGCCATCAACCTGGCTATAGCCGCCGGGCATGGTGATGGTGGCGACGAGGGTGGCGATGACGAGGTGGATGCCGACACTCTGCTTAATGGCCTCCTTGCCGGAGCCCTTGTGGCGGGGCAGGGTGACGGGCGGCAGCTGGTGCTTGCGGCACCTCTTGGACTCCTCCCGCTTGAGCTGCTTCCACAGGTACATCTCGTACGCATCCATCGCATTCTCGCCGCCGGCTGCGTTGGCCTGGACGAGGCTACGCGCCGTCTGGCCGTCCCCGTTGAGGATGCAGGGGGCGACGCGGCGGTCCTCGAGGAGCATCAACGCGCAAGGGATATGTAACATGCTGGCAGAGAGGTACAGCGGTGTGTTGCCTTCCCCGTCGACCTGGTTTAGCAACTCTGCAGCGCGGACGCGGCTGAGCAGGCACCTGAGCGCGTCTATCTTGCCGCTGACGACGGCAGCGTGGAAGACATTGCAGCCGTTGCCGTCCACCATCTCTGCCACGTCGGGGCACCGACGGAGCAGAGCTTTGATGGCCTCCGGCGAGCCGTAGCGCGCGGCGGCATGGAGCGGGGTCTGCTGCACTTGGTTGCGCTCGTAGGCCAGGCTCACCTGCATTTTATGTATCATGTCCACCGCGCGTGCGTCGTTCTTCTGCACCGCATAATGCACGGCGTTATTGCCGCTAGAGTCAGTAAGACTGATCAGGTCAGGGCGATTCTCCAGCAGGCCTGTTCCCTGTGCTATTCAGTCAACTTTAACCGTATAAATCAGTCGTGGAACAGTGTTTTTCTCTCCACGATCTCTGTAGTGCATCAAATGGCACGTACAGTTAGCTTGAGGCGGTCACACAATTCAAAACCAATTCAAATTTCAAACATTTCAATGGCACGTGTTATGCAAAATTTTGGACATTTACCTAAAAATGTGGAGAATCAAAAGTTATGTGGAATGATTGCCGGGCTACAGACATGACCACAATGGTAACAGGGTTGGAGGTTTACATAAAGATTGCCCTAAAGGTGGTGCTGGGTCAGGTCGATGTTTTTTTTTTGCGGTGAACTGTAAGAGGAACTCCAGGGATTCTTTGTATCTTGGTCTTGAACTTGTGGTGGTGTGTCATATATGTCTTCGAACTCTGAAAGTATGTCATTTCTATTCTTAAACTCAGTTTGGATCTCATATTCATCCAAATATGTCTAGGTCCACACGTCAGCTCTATCTTTCATCTCTCACCTCCCTCGTGGCCATGGTCAACTCGTCGGTGCACTGCTGCCGCCCTCTCCACGGGTGGAGGGATATCCCAATTTTACCCACCATAAACCTATTGAATTATAGTTTTGCCCTTAATAAAAATAAATAAATAATAAAGTCAAGATTTGACCCATCTATTTTGGTACTAGCCCCATCTATTTTTGGTACCGTCCCCACTTTTTTAGTACTTCTCACTACTTTCACGTTGGTAACTATTATTTTTGTACAGTTTGATTTTTCCTGATGGATGGTCTTTTTTTTTTCAACCATTGTAAATTTTCTCCCCTTTATATAGGTGTGAAAACACTCTCTATTTCTATCTATTTTGAAAAGCAGAAAGGCAAAAAGGCAAAAGCAGGACCTAAAAGTGTTTTTAAAACTGTGCTCCCTCCATCTCAAAATATAGGACGTTTTAGGTTTGGGCACGGGAACTAAGAAAAGGTAAAAAAGTGTTGTGCACACAAAACAAGGGGAGAGATACAGAGAAATAAAGATAGAGATGTATTGAGAAAAGAAAAATATGTATTAAGAGAAGAGAAAGATGTATTGGGAAGTGAGAGTGTCAAATATTTTAGGACAAAATTTGAATCCTAGAACACCTTCTATTTTGGGATGGAGGGAGTACTTTACAAAAATAGCTGCTGCTTCATGTTTTATCTGAAAAACATTTTTCAGAAGCTCAGCCAAAAACAGCTTTATATTAGGTAGAGAGTAGCGAAGAGAAATAGAGGAAGATAGATATGTTTACTTACTGGGGTGACCACCCAACACGACTTGGTGAAGAGCCGTGCCGCCGAAGGGTTCCACTCCACGAACTCGGCGTCGACCCAAGGAATGTCGACGATCTTCCGCACGACGTCGACAAGGCCCTCGCGGGAGGCGATTTCCAATGGCGACTCGTGGCGCCCGTTGACGTCGTGGATCATGTAGAGGTCGGCATCTATCAGCGCCAGTGCTACGGCGCTCCTGCGGTTCCCCACCGCCTCGTGCAGCGGGGTGTTGCCCGCGCAGTTCCTCATGGTCAGAGGGCTCAGCAGGGTGTCTTCACTACCATCGGGGTACTCATCAGGCCAAGCCTGTGCTAGGCCAACGAGCAGCTCCAATACCTTGAGCTTGCCCATCTTGGCCGCCAAGTGCACCGGGGTGTCGCCGTCGACATTACGGCTGACGAGCAGCTCCTCACTCACGCTGAGGACTTCTCCTGCAAAGCGAGCGTGGCCGTGCAAGGCGGCGAGGTGGAGGGCGGTGTGTCACTGGGGCGTCATGGAGTTGAGGATCTTGACGTTGCGCACCACCAGCTTCCTTAGAGTCGACACATTCCCTAGTGTCGCGGCCTTGGACAACGCGGGATTCATAAGTGGCGCCGGTGCAATGGCTGATGGCTCTTATCTTGTCTGACGACGCTAGCTATATATAGTCCTATAGGAGTTCCAATTCCAAGTCAAGAAAGCCCGGAAAGGAATACAAGAGTTGAAACGACGATGCCAGTGAAATACTACAACATGTGGAAGTGGAAGAAGTTGATGCTGCTGTGGATGAGATTTGGTTTGGTCGATACCTTGCTTCTCTCTCTCTCTCTCTCTCTCTCTCTGCCAATGTTTTGAATCGCCCTTCCTAATCCTACATGTGGAGTCTAGTAACTTGGCAAATGCGCCTGGGTATATGTTCCAGCTTGCCGGCACCTGCTCGGCCGGGGAATTTGATCGCCAAACCCCGCCAAGTTTAGTATCTGTTCGTGTACCTTTATTCCAAAGCTTTTGCTGTGCTCCTACCTATTAGACACGAGCAATTAATGACACCAAAGCTTATTCTAATAAAGTGCTGCTGCACGTCATCTCCAGGTCGGAATGCATTCATATTCCAAGCGGTGACACTGGCATTTTGTCATAACGATGCTGAATTAGATTTCCGTGGACTGAAATGTTCTTGCCACCACTTCATTGCAGCCATTGTCGTTTGACAGGCTACACTAATTTCCCACATACATACATAGTCGACGACCTGAATACCAAGATCCCAAGCCCTCATGAGAAAATTGCAATGACAGAATTGGCAACTTTGTGGAACTGCACATGTCATTGCTTACAGTAAAGTACTTGCAGAAACAACACTTCTTCTCTCATGGTGTCAAGCACTAATTGATCGAGGATAGGCCCAGATATTCTAGGGGCTTCCAAACTTAAATCAGCCATGCTTGATTCATATATTTGACATAGATTGACAAGCTGAAATCACTGTATATGATGGACAACACACATTTGTGCCACTTGTAGATATATCCCTGTACTTCTGAATACTAGGATCCCATAACTTGTGGAGAAATATACACATATGAACCACAAGATCAGATAGTAATGATGACTGATAAGCATATGACCAAACTTGCAAAAGACATACCTTGCAGATACATCCAACTGTGTCTTGTCCACGAGATATTTTCCAAGGAAAAAATGTAGAAAACTCAAATTCTGCCGGCCACACAACTTAGCCCAAATTGGGTGGACGTTGGGTCCATGCCGGCGCCCGTGCGACCCCAGCCCGGATAGCTGACGCGTGTCGCGGGACCAAATCGCATGTCTCGACGTGGCGCTGCGCTTCGAGCCGAGCCGCTACACGGGGAAGCCGAGATGTGCGTGCGGAGGAGCCACCAGCCCACCACCGCTAGCGTAGGGGCGCGCATTGGACGTCGAATGGACCCAGGGTCCACGCAATTTTTTTTTCCAGGCATTGGTGCTGGGCACGGCAAAGGTTTCAGTTGGTTTTGCCACGGCCGTGAATTTTTTTTTCATATTTTTTAAAACTATTTCCAAATTTGACATTGTTTATATTTTTTCAAATCTAACACATTTGGTCGCGCCTATTACCGTGGCGCGGCCAAATCAAGCAGCCGCACCATGCATGGTTGCGTGTCAAGGCCACCTCCATGTCCCGCTGGCTGCTGACGTGTCTGGCATTACCGTGCCAGCCCGCACGGCGCGGCTGGGCCGATTTAGTGTCGCGCCGCAGGCTCCCTCCCTCTCTCTGCCATACTTCGAACAGAGCCGGAGGAAGCTCCAGGCGCCCGCACCATTGCCTTCCACCTCCCCAGTGGCTGGCAGCCGGCCGGCCCTCTCTGGCCGCCTCCCTCGCTCCCTTTCCCCAAGCTTCTCCTCGCCCTCGGTGAAGGTATTGATGCTCTTATTTGTTGTTCGAATCGTGGATTCAAATATTAGGATTGGTAGCTAGGGTTAGGAGGAATAGTATATTTGGGAACTTTGGGTAGCTAGGGTCTGGATGAAAATACTAACTACACCTATACCAACTAACTATACTAACTAATCTAATATACCTATATCAACAATTCTAACTAACTATACTAACAAACTACACTAACTAATCTAATATTAATACCTATACTAATTAACTTTACTAACTATACCTATCTAGCTAATAATAAAACTAACCATTAATAACTTAACTTTACTAACTGTCGGGGTTATGATACCCCGGGTATCTCAAGGCACCGATTAGATAGCCGCTCGGGCGGCTCACGGTACGCCAGCTAGTATAAGCCCAAACGATCAAGGTCCAGCTAAGCTAAGTAGACCGGACCAAACACAAAGGCCGGAGGTCACCACGACCCCTCCATCTGCTTTAGCCTCGCAACACACGAGGACTCACGACCACTCCACCGTACCGACCCTTGGGAGGAACGGGGAGAGATCGAGTCCGGCCAAGCGTGCCTGCTCTAACAGAAGCAGGCATGCCGCACTGACCCTGCAAGGACCGAGGGGAGTCCCCTCGGTCCGGTCAGACGCCACCCCTGCGCCACGCAGTGTAGACAAGACAACACCGCCAAGCGGTGACGGCCAGTACAGAGACCTGCTATCTAAATACAGCCCGACGAGATATGTATGATCCCACCCACCGCGGGATGGGATCCACGATGATGGCCTTGACTTAGGAGGTCATCCAAGCCAATGGGAGCCACGACCCCGGAGCCCGGGAACGAGGCCACCAACCCCATAAGCTAACAAGACGATCGACGACTTGGGGGTGGCTACCAACTCCTGTACGGCACCCCTAGGAGATCAGGCGATGACGAAGGCCACGGCGAAGACCATGTCGCACAGGACGATTGGTGAACCACCACTGTGCCTACAGTGTCGCCACAGCCGGCTGAAAGGTCCTAATATGGCTAGAGGGGGGTGAATAGCCTATTTAAAAATCTACAAATCAATTAGAGCAATTTGATTAGTATAACAAATAGCGAAATGCAAACTTGCTCTAGCTCTACAAGGGTTGCAAGCCACCTATCCAACAATTCTAGTTACTATGATCACTAGACACATAATTTGCTAAGTCACTACTCACTAAGAGCTCTCACACTTGCTACACTAAAGAGCTCCACTAGATGAACTCAAACTACAAAGCAAGCTCTCAATTCTAATTACATTAAAGAGCTTGTTACAACTAGTTTGCGAGAATATAAATGAGTGAGTAGGGTGATTATACCGCCGTGTAGAGGAGTGAACCAATCACAAGATGAACACTAACTCAATCACCAGGAGAATACCAAAGGGCAAGAGACAACCAATTTTTTCCCGAGGTTCACGTGCTTGCCAACACACTACGTCCTCGTTGTGTCGACCAACACTTGGTGGTTCGGCGACTAAGAGGTGTTGCATGAACCTCGTCCACACAATTGGACACCGCAATAACCTACCCACAAGTGAGATAACTCAATGACACGAGCAATCCACTAGAGTTACCTTTCGCCGCTCTGCCGGGGAAGGTGCAGGTCCCCTCACAATCACCGGAGATGGCCATGAACAATCACCAACTCGCGCCAATCCTCCTCCGCTGCACCAAGCCATCTAGGTGGTGGCAACCACTAAGAGCAACAAGCGAATCCGGCAGTGAAACACGAACACCAAGTGCCTCTAGATGCAATCACTCAAGCAATGCACTTGGATTCTCTCCCAATCTCACAAAGATGATGAATCAATGATGGAGATGCGTGGAAGGGCTTTGGCTAAGCTCACAAGGTTGCTATGTCAATGCAAATAGCCAAGAGAGTGAGCTTGAGCGGCCATGGGGCTTAAATAGAAGCCCCCACGAAATAGATCCAATGGCTCCTCAGTGCACTGAAAATCGAGGCGACCGAACGAGCCGGTCAGATCGACCGGACGCAGGACCCTAGCGTCCGATCGCGCGATGCATGCCACATGGCACCTGCTTCAAATACTGATCGCTCGATGTCAACGGTCATCAGTACATTTAAGTTGTGACCGGACACACTGCTCAAAGTGACCGGACATAGGACCCCAACTTCCGATCATTTCCAGTAAGGTTCCACTCGCGATCGGACGCGTCCAGTCATGCCTGACTGGACTCACCCAGCGTCCGGTCACTCATCGTCTTCTCTGTGCGCCGCCACATCAGCACGACCAGATCGCTGAACAGTGTTCAGCCTGCGTCCGGTCACCTATGTCCATTTAAGAGACCGAGGGCGGCCTTCACTGCGCGCCACGGACCGAACGTAGACCCCAGCGTCCGGTCACTGCGTGACCAGCATTCGGTCACTGTTTCTCAGTGACTATCACCTCCTTCATTTCACCAACTTCTCCACCCTTGCTCAAATGTGCTAACCACCAAGTGTATCACCTTGTGCACATGTGTTAACATATTTTCACAAACATTTTCAAGGGTGTTAGCTTTCCACTAGATCCTAAATGCATATGCAATTAGTTAAGAGCATCTAGTGGCACTTTGATAACCACATTTCGATACGAGTTTCACCCCTCTTAATACTATGGCTATCAATCCTAAATGTGATCACACTCTCTAAGTGTCTCGATCACTAAACCAAAAAGCTCCTAACAATTTCACCTTTGCCTTGAGCTTTTCGTTTTTCTTTCTTCTTTTCTAAGTTCAAGCATTTGATCATCACCATGCCATCATCATCATGTTATGATCTTTATTTGTTTCATCACTTGGAGTAGTGCTACCTATCTCATAATCATTTTGATAAACTAGGTTAGAACTTAGGGTTTCATCAATTTACCAAAACCAATCTAGAGCTTTCACCGGCACAGTAGAATCACGCCACACTATGCCGCGACGTGGGCGCAAGACCATG